ATTGAAAAAACAGAAGTCATCTACGACAAGTACCAGTTTTGTTTTTGGTCTACTTTAAGAATAATTTTTCCTTTCCTGTTTCAAATAAAAAATAGCGAAGGTACGATGGTTACCGCCAGCGCCGTTTTTGAAAAATCGTCCTACAGAGACCAGCTACCACGCCGCTCTTTCTTTGAATTTTTTAATGAAAACTAAGAAGCTTTATAGACAAAGGTATGCCCTTTCCAACGCATCTAATGTTTTCTTAATAAAAATATTTTTTCACCGAAAAGAAAAATTCTTCAAATCCATCCTACTTTTCCCCCTCATAGGTGTATGTACCACCTTAAGATACCTCGAACCAACATAGATCTCGCGAACTTTCCGAAAAATAAAATAAGCAGTGTAGAACAAAAAACCAAATTTTTAGAATTTCATAGCATATACATACTCTACAACAAGATTTACACAGACGCTTCCAAATCTGATGTAAAAGTAGGATACGCCATCATAACAGGCGGTAGAACAATAAAGCAATGCCTCCCCATACAAATATCCATGTTCACAGCTGAAGCATATGCAATCTTTGAAGCCCTGAAGTACGCATACACGATCAACCTCCTAAACCACATCGTTTACATGGATTCCATGAATGTCACCAAAGCCATTTAGAGACGACGGACATGAAATCATAAACAATATACAAGGAACATACACAAAATTTACCAACCCCAATAAGAACGGTAAGGCCATGTGTTCAGGCTTACGCTGCGTCGACACAGGACATCGCCGTTTTTGAGAAAGTCAAGTATTTTCAAAGGATGTATATTTTCTCACGGACTTGGGTCTGGCTGGAAAACAATAGCAACATTCTCTCGAAGGATTGCCAGCCAGGCCATCTCAACGGCAATTGGCGCATCGTAAGTCCACACGCAGTCAAAAGAGGGACCTAGGATTTATGGGTCGGTTTTCCGAACTGCCGACCCTTTGTTGCGACGTCCTGCAGGCCTTGTTTACCGAGCGAACACTTGGCCTGTAGGCGTTGCGCAATCGGGAAACCGCCCCAAGTTTTAATTGGACAATCCTAGGTCCCACTTTTCTGCAATTCCTTCCAAAATAGGACTTGGAGGGAATTTTCCGGGACGATGGAGGGAGCGTTTCTCAACTTCGGTGGAAAGCGTCCCTCCATCGAGACAGAACAAAATAGAACCTCGTATCGAACAGAACACCCTCGCGACTGAGAAATAGTCAAACGGACAGTAAAAATTTTGTGTTGTAAATATTCCTAATTCCAAATTATATGGAATTAACAAAGAACATTATCATCACCTGGATCCCTTCTCATCAAGGAATAATAGGCAACGAAAAAGCAGACTCTACCACAAAAGAAGTGACAATGACGCCCTGTGAAACAAAAGAGTAATCCCAAAAATTCACAACATAATACAAAACTTTTACTGGCCACTGAAAGCTTACACACGAACATCAATTAAGAAAACAGACAGCAGAAAAGTTGAACCACAGAGAAAGAAAGACAATTAGCCACCGCTTTTACATCACAGAGCCACGTAAGGAACACAATTCATTTTCTAAAGGACACAAGTTTATACTACAGAATCTAATTGCACAAAATGAAGGAAATTTAAAACATACCACGTCGCTAAATACATAAAAAAACAATATTTAGTGGAACCTTTTCCTTCTTCTTCTCACCCATTCTCACCCTACTAAGTTACCACAAAACCGTGAGACACATTCTTTTCCCAAGAACAAACTCCATCACTCGTGGGATAATTATGCAACTGGATTAAGATCGGAATTCGTCGTCGTTAGGAATAACAACGAGCCATGACAGAGCAGTGGCACGTTGAAAGCGTTGACTTTTAATCGATTATTTTCACCTGATCCGCTCGAGTTTGTCCGCGATTCGCGACTTTGCCCTCACACGGAATTTACGTGGGTGGTATATATTTAGCGGGGGCGTCCCATGTAGCCGGTGTGTTTCACATTCAAATCGAGGAAGTTATGTGAGGGCAGCGCTGCATGTATAAATAAATCGCGACGAATGCGGCGAGCTAATCCGTGAAACGTTTCGCTATCTATGCCTGCCGATCGCGATTGTACTCGAACAACTGATGTGTTCTTGAGCAAATTCCAAAGTTGATCACTTTTTTCTTTTTTTCTAGTCGACGGGAACTTTTCACGTGTTCGGTTATAAACTTGGTGAATTATTGGAATTTTAGAAATACAATAGATTGGAAAGTTGCTGAGATTGGTAATAATTGTTCTAGCGAGATCAGAAAGAATATATGTCAATTTTTATTTTTTTAAATTGAGTTCTACACTGAATCATGTTCGTATTTATACAGGATTAAGACAGGGGATAAGTCTACACGTAAAAATAAACTAAAAATAAAGAATAAAATTTTTTCGTTTGTAGCCCCGTTTTCGAGAAAATCGATTCTAATCGAGCGACTATCGAGTACGCGTACACTTACCTATTTCCGGGTTTTACGTTTACACTAATAAGCAGTATCAGTGTCATAATAAATACTAATAATACGTTTATTAACAATTTTATTACTGAATAAACTGTTGAAAGTGACGTTCTTGTTGAGGCATACAATACCACCGGTGTTTCGACGCCATAATTGTTCGAAAGCTTGTGTAATTCTTCCTTTGCTTAATTACAGTTATTTATCAACATCACATGTGAGCAAAAGCAACAGATTGCAGGAAATCTTTAAATTTAATTTTCGAGAAAATTCATGATTCGTCATTGAGAAATCATGGTAGTTAGTTTGCAAAACACCGTTTCGAGAAGAACGCATAAAGTTTTGCTACACTTAGCGGAGCATCACTTTCTTAAAATCATTACAACTGTGTGATCCACCGCTACAAACTTCAAATGCGTAATCGCTCCCAAATTTCACATACGTATAAAATAGGTATCCCTTTAACGTTTGTGCTAGAATGATGTCTGAATGGTGTGATATTTTTGCATTTTGTCAAAATACATTTTCCCCCCTTTATTCTATTAGGGACATAACAACATTCATGTGGATTAAGATTATCTTCAATTTTTCGGTTTGAGATCTGTTGGGACAACAGATTATCCCTTTATGATACAGTCGACACGTTTGCTATTTTTCAGAATTCGAATATTTGATTTTCTCAGCATGCATTCAACTTTACGATAAGGAGAAACGCCTAACGCTTAGTTGTTTTTCTAGCATTTGGCCTCTTCTGTTCAATAGCAATTCACGTATCGTAACCTTATTCTTCTGACTAAGGACTGACGAACACATGCATGACAAGAAACGACCAGGACCTAATGTACCCTTCGAGATTTCCCTCGATCAGCACATGGACGCTGATGTACAGTTCTTGCACTTGACACACCAACGACATGACAGGACGTAAACAGCAGAATTAAGGCACCCCCAAACTTTCCTATCCTTTCCCATTGGACAGAACTATTCTCATGTTCCTTAAGACGCTCCTTTTGATGAACGAACATGTGTAAAAGGACCGGGACTGAGATACTCTGCAGATACTCTAAGAAATTGTACATTCGTTATTATTGGCACGGAGCTCTGGGCATTTGCGTGATTCGCGCGTTTCCGCACTTATTGGACATTGCGGTGACACTTCGAACGTGAACATTCCGTACAACACTGAACTTTGTATAACATAATATTAGAAATCGAATTTACTCGTAAGCCTAATTGTTTCACGTTACCAAACTTTGTTGGCAATTAAATATCAAGGTGTATTTGCTATGTAACCAGGCTGCGTGCAAGTCATGCAAGTGAAGTTTCGACAGATTTAATTGAAATTTATTCATATAAAGAAATAGCTCCTATAATAATTAAGTTTAATAATTATTATTTGTGAAAATATTCTCCTATTTATTCGTCAAGAAAAAGAATTTTGTAAAAAGTTTATTTTAAACGACATGCTTCTCTGTTGGAGATTTCATGAAACGAACATGTTCAGTGATAAAATGCATTTTCAACACTGTGTGCTTTATGAGCATCAACTGGACCAAAAAGCTACAACGGTAGTCAGATATTCCTGTAGCATTCTTAAAAAGAATGGCGTGGATGCCGAAATATCGGCACGATGAGTCTTCAGAGGTTGAAAGTGAATCATGCTCCTGGACATTGATCTATGGTCTATAAGAATAGTAGAATGTATTCTTTGATTTTGTAAAAGAGGTTTACCTTTTTATCTAATTTTAACAGCAACCTAACTGTCTATAATCTTTCACTATAATCAATTATCTCAATTTCTGTACCTACGGTACCGTTCCACTCGCAATTTTAACGTTATTAAAATTGAAATTTGTTTCTTCTTCCTTCATCCTTGCAATTAAACTCTATTTACTCGACTGAATGTATTATTTTATTAATGTCATCTTATCTGTAATATTGATGCAATCATTCGCAAGAAAAAAGCTTCAAGATTCAAGGGGAAAAAAAAGGAACGAAATTCCAAAGAAAATACCTATACGTTCTTTCGCATTGCACCATAAAAAGGTTGCTTTATCCAAACACTAACGTTCCTTCGTATCGATTTAATATCAACGAAAGTTCTCTTATGATCGTTGCGAAACCATCACCTCCTTTCGCCGTTGCGGATGAATCGCGATTTTGCAAAATTACCGGATAAACTCGTACGACCGGAAAAAATATACTGTTTACACACACGTTGTCGTTGATTTTTACGAGGGGGAAAAAAAGAAATATGTGAAAAAAAAAAGCCAATCGATTACTTTCACCGCAACAGATAAAGTTTAATCAAACGTTATCTGGTTAGAAATTACGCGGACAATTGGACCAAATTTCACGGTTCGACGATTGTGACGTTGAAGAGAGGGAAGGGGAAAAAAGGAATGAAAGAGGACGGAACGAACGAAAGAAAGAGTTAGCCAGTAGGTAGCTCGTTTCATTGAGGAGATAAAGGCCAATCATGACGGAGTGACTCACCGAATTTTCGGCATACTTTTTCTGCCGCAGACGGGCCACGTGAGAACGTCGACGGGAAGCTACATAATTAAACCAGCCGAACCGTGGCAAGAGAGTGACAAAGATCCTCTAGAATTTTCGCTGCGACACGCCATCCAAAGGATACGACCAGTCGCCATGGAGGATCGCTCGAACGACAACGACCAGGCTAAAAGGCAGAATTGTGGCGTGATCGGTGAGTTGGAATGATTTTTTTTTTTTTTTTTTAGTATAATTTAAGATTGCGTTAACATCTTGATTATTAGCGACCATAGTTGGTTGTTATTTTATATTTCACAGTAAAGATTTATTCTACGGATAAGTTCGATTGCTTTCTTGAGCTTTTCTTTTATTTCAAATATTTCTTTAATATTGTTAGGTATTTGGAGCTTGTTTCTAGTGTCTTCTGTGCTCTTGCATTCTAACAGAATATGTTTGGTGCTCAAATTTTATTAGCAAGGTTCACAGTATAGTCGAATTGTTTTATTCAGAATGTAGTTATGTGTAGCCTTAGTGTACTCAATTACCAGTCCGTTAATTATTTGTTCTTTTCTACTAAATTTGACTGTAGCCTGATTTGCATAAAAGTCATTTGAAAGGATATATCTTTTCTTCCATTTTTCCTTCCATTTTTGTTTGATACAGTTATTTAAGAAGTCAAACGCGGTGCTTCTTTCGAAGCATTATCAACTTTTTCGTTACCCAATATTCCTCGGTGGGAAGAATGATTTTCTTATTTACTTTCTAGAAGAGACTACGTAGGGTGAAATTCTGTCAATGATTGTGAACGTGAATTAAATTATAGTAATACGAGAACATTGATTAAAATAAAAAACATTTTTATAACTGAGAAGTTGAAATGGTAAACGATGTGAGTGTCAGAAGTATAGATTTTCAGTAGAAACAAAAAGCATGTATCTATTAATTTTGGTACTTACATACATCGTTTATCACTTGAACGCTATGTGGACTGTCAGCGTTTACCACCTTTGTAGATTTATATAGAAAAAAAGTAAATAGTACAAAATGTATTAAATTACTTAAATTTATTTATTTGTACACTCTGCTTGTATGTAGTATATTACTTTTGGCACTTACATACATTGTCTTTTCAATTGGACCGGTGATTATGACAGTGGTCTAACAATAAGTCATTTATTTTTCGTTTCGAGATATCTGGACTTTTTCCTTTGGAACGTGAATTGAATTCTGTTTAATCGCACACCTACCAATTCTATTTAATGATTTAATTTTCGACTATTTTAGAAAAACGGGTACACGGTATCGCAATGTAAATCGATACAACACAAGCTAACTAATTGTAAGTGATAAGTTCAATTTTGTTAGATTTTTTATTTAAGCTACTTTCTTAATTCCCAACACATTTACTTTCCGAAGGAGACTTTTCAGGGTGAAATTCTGTCGATGATTATGAATGTAACTTGAATAAAATAATTCGAGGGAATTGAATTTTGAACGAAATTGTAATAATACCAGAACATTTTCAAGAAAATAGTTGGAGGTTTAAGAAATTTTGTAAGATTCGAAACATTATTTGAATTCTTATATTGTGAGATATGGCGAAAATCCATTTAATTGAATAATTTTTAATTATTTTTTAAAGGGAACTCACATTTTCCGTCACGAAATAATGTTCATTATAAACGGGGTTCGAATCCAAAAATTTGAGAAGACTGAATTGATCCTGTTGTTTAAGTTGCATTGATTCGAATTGTAATAACACGGAACCATTTTTAATAAGTAATTAAAAGACTACGTTTATAATTAGAATTACATTTGATTCTCGTATGTTATAATAGTTTCAGAAATTTTATTCATTTTCAAATTGTGAGATACGGTGAAAATCTATTGGATGGGGTTGGCAATGTGTTAATCGTTATGCACATGAAAAATTTGTAAGCTTAATATTTCTTTTTTTTTTTTCAAATTCATTATTTTCATTTTATTCGGCAGCTTGATAGAACCTTAATACTTCATACTAAATCTACATACATACGTGTAAAGAAACATGTATATATCGAGTAAAAATTTTAAGCCTACTGTTAAAAGTGCTGAAGTAAAAAAGATGTCAAGTCCAGCTCCATATAGAATTACAAAGGGCTAAAGAAGGAAGGCTTAAAGATCCGCGCCTTTTTGCAAGCGGCTTAGCTTTGTTCTTCGCGTTCTACTTTAAATAATCATTAAATAAAACATGAGCGTAACTTTCTTTATAAAAATTTATTTACCTTGTAATTCTATAACTTTTTATCATACGCGAAACACGTGTCTTCGTATAAAGAAATAATACGTCATATTTTTTGTGCCAAATTCGAAAGATTAAAACTACGAAAAATTTTCAGAATTATATCGATACTTTAAAGTGAACCTAATCGTACACTATATAATAACTAAATAAAATGAATTATTCCGTTCTATATGGTAACCTATTTCTACTATACTGCTCTCCTTACTTTACCTAACTAACATTTTTGAACATTCGAGAAAAGTGAGATGGAAACTAGTAGAAGTATCTGTATAACAGGTAGAATAAATAAATTAGACTGTTTCTAGAAACCTACAAAGCACAGAGAACATTCTAACTTTGCTTAAAAGGTGAAAAGCACAATATGTAGCGTCGACAAATGTTGCAAAACTTCCTGACAAATGAACAATTGATAGATCGGACATTTTATTGCAGCTAAGCGGAGCAGTGTACGTACACAGTGGATGAAAATGTCTCCTATATGCAACTAATAGCATGTTTCTGCAAGTCAGTACAAAATATAATCAAAACCAAAGGAATAAAACAATGAAGAATTGTCAAAATAATATCGGGACTCTAAACTAAATTGTAGGCATTTTGGGACGGTTTACGGCTTGGCCTGCGCCTCATGGCAAGTGACAAACACCAGAGTACCCGTTGGTTCGGCCCCCAGCGATATCTTTGCCATTCGACGGGAGTCGGTTCTTAGCTTCGGTAATAGACGGACGCCGAAGAGTCCGAAATAAACTACTTTGCACAACATCCTGATTTGAGTAAAGTTCATTAGACCACCTCCTACAAAATCTATAATAATTCTACCGTGTACAATAACTAGATATTATAAACTAAATGAAGAGTACAAGAAAAAAGGACGTAGGATCCATTTTTTTGCCTATTACGACATTTAAATACATATAAACGTGTTCAATCATAAATGTCTTTATTGTGTAAAACTAAAATAATTATAATTAAGATATTGAGTGTAAGACTTTTAATATGTGTAAGTACTACATGTAGACTAAAGTTCTTTTAGTTTTCATCATCTATTATGCCAATTTCAATGACCTTGGCAGTGCTGTAGTCGTAAAATCAGCAGAAGGTATACGGTATACGGAATAAAAATTTTTAAAGGTATATAAAAATATTTTTTTGTTTGAACTATGTATAGTGATAGAAGTCCATACATTGTATTATTTGTTGAAAGAAATTTTAAATATTGCTTAAATAAAGAAAAAAAAAATAAAATGTTTTAGTCGGGGATTTAGTAAATAATTATCATTTTAAAAGCAAATTGAAACAATTTAAAATATTTATGTGAATATTCGAAAATTTAATCTCTCGAAATTTTTAAAATTTTCAATACGCCGTGTACCCTCCACTACAGTCCTGGACCTTGGCATCTACTTTCCCAAGGAATGTATACACGTATGTTAATTAATTTGCTTCAAATGTTTGTAATATTAATACAACATTATCGAGCTTTTAATATGGTAATCTACTGTAAGAAATGCGAGATTTCGGCGGCGAAGTGGCGGCCTGGACTTTGTCACCCAGGAAGAGAAAGCGCGCTGGTACCATAAACTAAGCCCTTTCCGTTTCCGTTTTTCGGAGCAACGCAGGATAGGACACGGAGAGGGCTCTTAATATAGCCGTCGAGCGAGACGGACACCCGAGTACCTTAACAGCCGCTTACATTTATAAAATAATAACGTTTCGGTTAATAGTCTATCGCGTGTTACGTTTACTTAAGTTGTGCTAACACTACTCTGACTCTACGCCGTAGAGCTAAAGGGTCACTACTTGGGACATTTAATTGAATTGAGATAAACTCTAAACTATGTCATTTCAAGGTCACAGTATTCTATACCCCATGAAGTCAAAAATATGTGGTGCCATTTAAAAAACCATCGACGACCTTCAAAAATCTTTGAAGATAACGTCAATCGGAAGATGTACCTCCTCGAATAGTACAACTTTTCTCTTTGACACTTTCTTTTATTTACATGGATGTTCTGTCCCTCGTGACTCATCCTGTATACAACAGTACAGAACGTCTCCAATTTCTAACTAGATGAAATAACGAAAAGAAAAGATGAGAAAACGTGTTCACTACCTCGCTAGCAGATCGTTCCACCAAAGTCGAGTTTCGTGGGTCAAGAGACGGTGGGTCCCGCGCCGAAAGTGTATTAATAATGCATGCGCTTGAAGCGGTACACATTAGGAGAGACAGCGATGCACACGTGTGTGCAACGAACGGGCACAGCCCGCCTGCGATGTAGTACTACAAAACGTCCAGGTGACTCGATACGTATCGTTTTATTCATGACCGTTCGTTCCTTAAAGCAACGTGTCACGTGTGTGTCGCACGGCGAAAGTTTATTCGACCGTGGCCAGTGAAGAGATTCGCGAATAAATAAATGGACAGGCCGGTGGACTGTGCCTCTTTGGAACAGCGACCGGTTTTTTTCGACAGTTCGATTAACATTCCGTTGTTGAGGTATTACATTGTCCACGGAGGCACGGATTAATTATTTCGTCAGCCGGCTTACGCTCGCCGTTGATCCTTTCGAATTTCTCTCCCGGTGCTCAATTTGCGATTCCCCTCACTTATTTACGATGATTTCTCTTTTAGTAGGCGCAGATGAAAGATTTGGTTCATAATGCGTGTGGGAGAGATCGAGGGATAAGGTTTATACGGATTGAAGCTGTGATGAGCATTTTCGTTGGGATCGTATGAAGTTTTGTTGTGGATTCTCTCTGATTGTATGGATGTAACAGTGAAAGTACAGGGTAACACTTATTAACGCCTCAAGACGTTATCACAGGCGTGCAATCTCTTAGACTATTTAAGTACAGTATTTTATTTGTTTGTTAAGGTTTTTTTTACAATAGTTTGTCAAAACAATATGCCTAAACGTATTGTGAGACTTGCT